TTTTTTTTGGGTGTCAGTCTTTTCTTTATTAGGGACAGACCATACATTTCATCCAGTTTGTCTTGGTGTTCTGCCCCATGTAGTACCAGTTTTCTGAGAACTGTAAATTATTAGGTTACCCTCCTGAAAAAATATGAGTGCAGAAAAACGATGGGCTGATGACAACTTCCTGATTACAAGCTGGGACGTTCAGGGAAACCCTCATGTGGCACAGCATCCCAACCAGCCTGTAAGTGTGTGTGTGAAGCTGGCTCATGGGGGAATGCATGCCAAGGAGGGTGATGGGGCAAGGTGCAGGCGAGCAGAGAGTACCAGTACCAGGGAACCGAATGACATGCAAGACGACACAGAAATAAAGTTTCAAACTCTGAGCATTACCTCTTTGTCAGATACTTCTGAGTCTAACAAAGGTTCAGAGAAATGTAACAAGGCAACTCTGCCTGACTCAGGAAGTACAGACTGTTAACAGATACTCTTGAAAGCAGGGTGACAAACAGCACATCCACCTGTGGACACCTTGGTATTTCTCATCTGAAGTCTGTCCTTCTGCTTTCATATAGCACCACCTTAGCTCGCATACAGGCTCCCGTAAGGGGCGGACTCTGAAATTTCTACGGAAAGTGTTGTTTCATGAAGTGTCGTATAGGCAACTGATGCGACTGCCCTTAAAACAGGTGAATGTCAATCAACAAACCCCTGTGGGCTCCCTGTGATAACATGGACACATGGCTCCTACTAGGCATTTGTGCCGAAAACATGGATAAGATTTTGAAAAGAATATTCTTACCCGGATTATTTCTTCCACACAGCTGTTGCTTTCTCCAGATCTACTCTCCTGAAAGCAAAGGAAAAAAAAAAATTAAGCCTGGGAGAACAGATTTATGGTCACAGAGAGAAAATAACTTGAAAGCTTCCAAATTAGTGGGAGAAACAATAGTTTTAGGCCAAGAGAAGGACATGGCTGGGGCTGACTGAGAGACCCCTTGCCTTAGGGGTGGCTTCCATTACGGCCAGGGGAAGCACCCACAGTGGCGTCTGCTCCCTTATCCCTGCCCTTCCCTGCTGCAATTCAGAGATGGCCTCTCCAACCCAGCCCACTCCCTCTGGAACACACTCCAGTGGCTCAGGGGCTCTGCTTCATTCCCAGCGTGCTTTCCATAGCACGGGCATGCAACAACATCCGACAACAGAGGGAGGATGAAGAGCAAATGAATTTCTCCCTTGTAGTTCTCAGAGGAATCAGAGCTAGGAGTTTTAGAGATGACAAGGTTCTACCAAAGCCCATGCCTGGCACTCCCCAACCCTTTTCCTGGGGGCAGAATGGTCCTTCTACCTAGAATAAGTGGTTTGCCCAAGTCTCCAAACTGAGGGCCAGAAAGTTTGCATGTGCAAGAGCAGGGCCTGGAATGCAGAATGCCCGTCCTCAGACACAGACCTTTTCCCTTCCAGAAGCATTCCTTGCTCCCAAAGACTGCACCTGAAATCCATCCTCTCCCCTAGGGAACTTCAGCGTATTTGCTTGTCAAAGGGAAGCCCGAAGCTTCCATCACAAAGGCTAGATGACGGAGACTGATCTAGACTCAGCAGTCCCTTGGAAAGACCTCATTCTCAACTCCTTCAGCTCCTTCTTTAAAACCTATCTCCAAATCCACAACCATTTTTCTTATTCTACTTCCAAGTCCCAAAGTATCCCTACTGTGGAACATGATGGCAGAGCAGATGCTAAACTCTCAACATACTTTCTATTTTCAAGGAAAACTTGACTCCACATTCATTCTCTTGGTGGAACTACCCAGACACAACAAGGTACTAAAGACTCTTCAAATTAGACTTCAAGTTTAATTCTTAAAGCCAAATTTCCTCTGAAAACCACACCTGCTCTACATTTGCTGTGGTTTATATAAATCACAGGTTGCTCTTACGATGAGCTCTCTCTCTATAATCCTATAAATCTCCAGTACCCTATTCTGATAAGGGAATGCACACAGAGATGTACCGTTCAATACTTTCATTGTCCCTGGTGACAGTGGAGGATTATCACACGGGGTCATCTCAGTGGCAGCTCTAACCATAAGCATTGGTACTGCGAAGGTGCCAAAGTGAGACTTCCAACAGCACTGTCATGAAGTCCTGGCCTTAAGTCATAGCCTGAACAGATTTTCCCAAGGAACACCTTGGTCTCCTCAGGAGCATTTTCCCCAAGGACTCAAGAAAGGCTCTATATTGGTTTGGCTCTCCAGGGCTCCATGTGGGTTGGAGTGGATCCACAGGGTACCATGTTGCAGAAATTCTGAGTGGGAAGGTACCCGGAGCTCACCTCAGGCCCGCATAATGACTTTAACATAAACTGTGGCCCTGGGAAGTGAAGGACTTGTTCCAAAATCGTTCATGCAGCAATGGATGGTCAAGGCAGAAGCCATAAACTTTTTTTTCCCACTACTGGTTCAGTGCATTTTCTACTATCTCACGCTATTTCCTTACGCTTAATCCTTAAGACTGGCTCAACTTGAGGTAACTTTCATGCATAAAGGAAATGAAAGAATTCAGATAGTGTTTAGTAAATTTCCTCCTTCTTCCCATGATGCAAGATATCTAATACTTTGTCTTTTACTCATTAACCTCCACTATCACATGTGTAAACCAAGGGGAGAGGAGATGGGAGAGAAAGCAGACAGAAAGGGTCAGAACTGCTATCCTTCCTATTGCATTAAATAATCAGAGCTGAAGGTTTGTGCCCTCAGAAATTGGAGTATAGAATCCCACCTCCTCTGTTTCCAAATCCACGGAAGGGGCAGAGGCGGAGGAAAGTCTCGGGGCTTTGCTTTCCCAAGGCCTTTTGCAAAGCCGGTTTCCACTACAGTTGTGCACTGATTGTGTTTACATCTTGAAAACTTTCCACGTTTATGCACAAAATTAAAATGTGCGTGTAATTTACATCTCCAAATTTGTGTTTATGTTTTTCACAATAAAATTATTGCTTCCCTTGGAAAGGTACCCACTGAGAAGGAGGGCTGCACAATGTAAATTTTAATTACTCTGGATCTTTTCGAGGGCCTGTAGCTGTTATTTCATGCTGAGTTGCTGAGCTGTTGCTCCGTATTTACTCCGACTTTGATGAATCCAGCTCATTTTCCTATCGTTCCGTCTTGAAATGTGTCATAACAGTCTCACCTCAGTGAACCTCCAACTAAACTTCAATTAAAAACTAGCATCCCGGCTGATTCTCCTCTCTGCGGCCTTGCCTGTCATGCGCGCTCCCCCAGATCCAACCCCTGAAACGCACGCACTGCACGCTGCCAGGGAGATGTAGGGAGCTAAGCTGTGGGAAAGCGGGGCTCAGGAACTCACCAGGAGCGTCCCATCCCTGACTGCGGAAGTCCCTAATTACCATGCCAAGCACAGAGCCCTGGAAGGAGCAAGACTTAAATCAGTGGGAAATGGCATTTTATCACAAAGATGAACTGCACATCCTAGCTTCTGAAAATAGTTTAGCTCCTCCTCATCACACACATGGACCTTTCATTCTGAAATGCGATTCTTTTAAAAAATCACACAACCTTCATTTGTCTGAAAGCACTCAAAAGACCCTGGGGCATTTAGAAATGATTTCTCCCATGCACACGTCTAAATACTCCCACAGAACTGTCTTTAAAATGTATTTTATTATTATTGTAAATCTGAGATTAAAAAAAAAAAAAATTAGGAGTGCTGTCCTGCCACCAAAGCAGCATGTGGGACCTATGCCTGAGTTCGGGAGTTGTCATAATTCTATGGGAGGCCCCATCTCTACCATGCTGTTCTCAGCCCGACCCTTAGGGACAAGGTCACCTAAAAAGGAAGCAGCCAGGAGCTGTCTTCCAAATTCAGCTCCTCTACACCCAACCCCACAGGTTCCCTTGCAAGGCCTGCACTGGGCTCCAATACCCGCTGCTGGAACCCCGGCTTTGGCAATGCTCAGCCCTCTCTGTACTGCACTGCTCAGCATACCCAGGGGGCTCTACACAGCCGCTGTGGTCCCGCTGTCACGGCCGTCCCAATCATCATCATCATTTCTATCCCAGAGAAAAATAGGCAAAGGCAATACCAGAAACACAGAGGATGTCCAAAGGTAAATCATGAAAATGCAAACAAAGTGACAGCACACTGGAGATATTAACGTCAACTAAAGGACAAATCTTAGGGAAAAGCACATTCAGCAACATACAGGAGAAGGACAGAATGGCCAGAGCGTGAACAGAGCATCAAAGTAAGATATATTAGAAGAAAAGGAAGAAAACTAGGATGGTTGGAAATCTTCAGTCCACCTCTGTTTTTCCTAATACGCAAAGGGAACTACCCAAAAAATACATAAAGAAATAGAGAATTTGAACAAAGAATCAAGCAAGGCTCAATTAGTAGATACAATAAACTTAGACTGCTAAGAGGAAATTCCACCTTCTCATGATGCGCGAGATAGTTCCCGAAGTGGGAAGTCCTGAAATGATTTTGCACCACTTAGATCTCAGCTGCAGAAAAAGCTTCAAAACTTCCAAAGAATAATGGTTTTACAGTCCGGACGCCTTACGCACGAATTTACCAAAGCTATGAATTAAATGTATTATGGACATAACGATCTTCTAGACTTTTTGAAATACAACAGAAGCCACACCCAAATCATTCTTTATATGCATGGAAATTAATGTTAAAACACAGCAAAATAAAATTATGAGACTCCCTGAGGGCTTTCTTCATACTCTCCAAGTTTTCACTATTTTTTTGCAAAGGACATGTATGTGCTAAACAGTAAGTTAAACGTTTATTATTATCTAAACAGAAGTACACATTAGTACAAAAGACAACAGTAGGACAAAATTACAAACGAGGAGAAACAAAATGTATGTAGGATAAAGAATAAGGAGAATCTACAAAGCGAAAATATAGTTTCCTAAAGAAAAAAGAACCCCAGCTACCTGTACCAGTAGAAAAGTTATGTATAAATCTATTAATAAAAAAGACTAAGTAAAACATAATTTGAGATAGAGAGATACAATAACTTATATGGAAAGTATAATTATAAGAGGATAGTAATGTTACAGTAGAACACAATGTCAATATATAAAAAACTTCAAAAAGTTGGCAACTCCGAAAAAACTCTCTTAACCCTGAGAATACAAATAAAATAAAATAAAATAAAAATTACCTTTACATGCAACTTCAACCAGATGGTTTTCAAATAAAGTATTTCAGATGTTTAAGGGGAAACTAATCCCCATGTATTTTCTCTCCCAGAGGAGAAAGTCATGGAAAGCTAAGCATTTTATTGTTAGTAGAAAAACCTAACAAAAGAGAATTGATCAATACCCCTTATGAAAATAAATGTAAAAGCTTCAATAAATTATTAACCAATATAATTCAATAAAATATTACAAGAAGTCAGAAGCTGTAGTGCACTCTTATAATCCCAGCACGCTGGGAAGTGGAGGCAGGAGGATCACAGATTCAAGCTCAGCTTGGATAACTTAGTGACTTTGTGAGAAACTGTCTCAAAATAAAAAAAAAGGTGGGTGAGCATGTAGCTTAATGTGAAAGCCCTGGCTTCAATCCCCATTAATAGAAAAATTTCACAAGAATTGGTAGGTTTTCACTCAGGAATGCAAAAGGGGTTTAACATTTTATATTAGAGCCCTTGGGAAGTATTACATCAGTAGAGAAAAGAAGTAAAACTATGATTATCTCAACTTACTGATTTTTGATCATTTACCTATAAAAATCCAAAACACTTCATGTAAGGACCTTACACTCATTAAATGGTTTCTCCCCATTTCTCTGCCTCCCATACATTAACTTTTTAATGTG